TTAATGTTTTTGTAAACCTTTTATAGGATAAAAAGCTTTAAAAATACCTTAAAGATGTTTATGGGATATAATGATAAAATTAAAATGTTATAAATAGGTTTCACTATATCTTATAATCGTTGATCTTGGAATAGAAAGAAAGAAATCTTGAAGTATTACGAAGACAGAATTAAAATTAGTAAAAGTTTACATAAACTTAAATTCTATAAACCTGGAACTCAATTGTATAAAAATTCATTTTTAAAACAGCATAAAGAAAACATGTTACAAAATAGACTTACTATTGATTTACATCAATTTTTTTCCTGCTATTTTTCTGTATTTCTTAAATTTTCTACTAGGAATATATAATTCTTTTATTAGAAAGTTACTTTTTGAGGCCTATGATAATGTGCACTTGATGCTGCTACTCGGCAGGCTGAAGCCACATGGGAGGCCTGGATTCGATTCCTAGCCTGCCCTAAAAGCTGGGTGAAGTGGCATGAACCTATGCTCCAAGCTATTCCAAAGGCTGGGCAGGAAGGTTAAGACAAAGCAAGACTCTGGCAGAAAAAAAAAAAAAAAAAAGAGTTACATTTGAAATAAATAATACTAACATTTTGAATAATGAAAAGAAAATCTAAAAAACTGTCACCAAAGCCTTGACTACTGAAAATGTAAAAAGCTTTTCATTAAGAATTGATTAAATTAGAACTGATGGACATCTAGTGTACGTATACAAACTTAGATGTATGTAGTATAGCCTGTATGATTCTTTTTATTTTTTAAAGAATTACTTATATAATCTTATTTATTATTAGTAGTATTGTTGTTGTTTTATTTTATTTACTGTAGGGCATGCATGCTCACCACAGAGAGAGAAAGAGAGAGACAGAGTGAGAAAGCAAGCCACCAGGTCCACAACTAGAACTGTGGTTAGCCACGTGGGAGTCCAGCACCTTAACCACCATGCCACTTCCTAGCCCCTGCCTATATGCTTCTTACTGGACCACCACTGGATATGTGCTCTGTCACTGACTGAAATGTTGTTGTGTATAAACTACTTATATGAGAGGATTTCAAAAAGTTTGTGGAAAATGTGTACTATAAATAAACTACACAAGGCTTTCAAAATTGTTTGCACCTATATAAACTCATATGTTTAATTATACTTTTCCTTCCATGATCTTTTAAAAGTCCCCTCATATTAGAACTATTCCATGTGCAAGGTACTGTTAGAGTCTGTGTGAGTAACGAACAACTAAATGTAATCTCTCTCCTAAGAGTTGTCAAAGCAAAAATAGAAGATAAAACATACATATTCCCCATAAAATCTAACAAAATTAGGGAGTAGGGGCAAAGTATTCAAGGAATACTCTTCTCCCAGAATATCAGTTCTATGAGGGCAAGGACTTTGGTTCTTCTATCATCGGTACCTAAAACTTGGCATATAGTAAGCATTCAATAAATGTTTATTGAATGAGAGGATTATGTAAGTATGCATAAATGCATGTGAATATATGTACTTGAGGATTTTAGTATGTACACACACCTAACTTGGGTCAAGTGAAAGTCATAATGGAAATAAGATTTTTTTTTTAAAAAATGATAGGGTGGCACTATATGAAGGTGATGGTAACTTTCCACAAAATATATAATAGTATTATCTTCTGTGATAGTGATTTTTTTTTCTTTTAGATTTTTGCCATAGGCCACATTTGCTTGTCATAGAGAGAGGAAATTTAGAAGTCACTTGTCAAGGAGGATCGCCATGCTGCAATTCTTTCTCCTCTTGGGATTTGGGGCATGCACACACATGCATCAGGCATGTTTTTCAAGTCACCAAGTCTGAGACTCAAACACCTCAGTCAGCCATATGGGGTTCAGTGCTTTAACCACCATGTTATCTACTGACCCTTTGATGGTTAATTTTAAGCATTATCTTGACTGGGCCACAGGATGCCCAGATAACTGGTCACAGATTATTGTGGGTGTTTCTGTGAGGGATTTTTTTGTTGTTTTATAAGATTAACATTTAAATTGGTAGGCTGAATAAAACAGACCGCCCTCTCTAATACAAGTGAATCTTAATCAATTAGCCAAAAGCCTAAATAGGATAGAAGCCTGACCTTCCTCCAGCTAAAGGAGAATTCTTCCTGCCTGATAACCTTTGAACTGGGTCATCATCTTTTTTCCTCATTCAGGTTAGAATTGAGACATGAGCTCTTTTTGGCTGCTGGCCTAGAACTATATCATTAGCTCTCCTGGATATCTACCTTGCCAACTTACCCTTTATACCGTGACTTGCTAGCCTCCATAATTTGATGACCTAATTGCTTATTATAAATATTTCTCTCTCTTCACATGTATATCAGTTATCCTATTAATTGTTTCTCTGAAGAACTCTAACACACCATTATAGACTGAATCTTGGATAGAGAAATGGTCTAACCCACAGTGATATTTGTTACATTCTCATACTGTGTATTAAATTTAATTGACTTCTCTCATGCCTAGTATCAGGAATTGTGAGGGTTCTCTGTAGGTAATATTATATGAGAAAGACCAAAACAGAAATTATTCCAGAAATAGCTTATTACAAAAAAAATTTTAAAAAAAGACAAAAAAAAAAAGTTATCATCCTATACCTTTCCTCATGATCTTGCATTGGGTACTTTACAGATTGATGCTAATCAAGAATCTTAACTGTTTCAAAAATAAAAACAAAGACAAATCATTTACCATGTGAGATAAGTTCTATTTACTTTTTTTTTTTTAAAGTATCTTCAAAACATTCATAAGATAAACAGGGAGCTAATGAAAACCCTAATATCAGGTCATCAGCAAAGTCATGACACATTTTTGCATGGAAAATATGTCATGACTTTTCCAACCTCATAGAAAATGGAAAAAGGATGGCTTGGCCCCATAGTCCAGTGGTTAAGGGAGCTGGATCTCACATGACTGATTATGATTCAAATCTCAGCATAGATAGCATCAAAAACAAGTTGTGTGTGTCTAGGTTTGTGTATGCCCAAAACCCTGACAGGATGGAAAAATGTAAGAGAAGGGTTGTAATATGACTGCCCATTCAGGGTTGCTTTCTCCTTCTATCTCTGGATCACTCTGGTGAATAGATATATCCTCTAGCAATAAAGCAAAACAAAATATAGGATGGGCCAACCTGTGGCTTAGTGGTTAAAGCAACTGGATCCCATATGGCAACCTTTGTAGTTCAAATTCTGGACCCAGTGGCTTGATGAACATATCAGGTGCATGTGTTTGCATGCCCAAAATCCCAAAAGGAGGGAGAAAAGGAGAAGAATGGATTGCAGCATGACCATTCCCCATAGAGTGCTTTCTCACTTTCCCTTTCTCTTTCACTCTCCCTCTCTGTCTCTCTTCAGTAAGTAAGAGTCCTCTAGCAAAATTTTATAAAAACAAAATAAACAAAGACTATGAATAAGACAGTCAAGAGAAAAAAATTGCTAAGACCTATTTAACAACAGACACACAAACTCATTCATAATTAAGATAATGAAAATCAGGGCCAGAGGTGGTGTGGTAGTTAAGGTGCGGGACTCCCACATAGAGGAATGTAGTTTGAGTCTCAGGCCTGGTGGGTTGGATTCTCATTTTCCCTCTCTCTCTCTGTCTTTCTCTAGTGAGTACAGAGCACAGTTTCTGTAGCAAACTAAAAGATAATAATAATCATGATAAAATTAAGTAAGTAATTCTTTAAAAAAGAAAATTAAAATTAAGACCACAAAAAGATACCATTTTAAACTTATTAAATTAACAAAAATTTTAAAGTTCTATAATACTCATATGTGAGGCAAGAGATATTCTGACTCACTATTAATGAGGTATATGTGACACAACCTAATTAAGTTTAAAATGTATGTGCCATCGGCCACCATATGGTGTGGGGGTTCAGACGCTGGATCCATGTGCCTGAGTCTGCATCTAAGAGTCCTGGACCTGGTGCCTTGAAAATCATGCCAGGCATGTGTGTATCCATGCCCCAAATCCTAAGAAGAGAATGAAGCAGAATAGACTGCAGCATGGCCATCCTTCCTGAAGAGTGATTTCTCTTTCCCTCTTTCTCTGGATCTCTGTCTCTACAGCAAATGCACACACCCTATAGGGGAAAAAATTCTAAAAGAAACCACTCAAAACAAAAGTGCATGTGCCGTTTGATGTGTCTACTGTTAAAACTGATCCTGCAAATATGCTTACAAATATGTGTCAAAGTTATACACATACTAATATTTTATTAGCAAAAAAATAATTTACTACCCCAGGAACCAGCAGTTAGCGTAATGGCTATGTCACTGGACTCCCATGTAGTCAACCGCAGTTCGCATCCTGAACCCGGTGGCTTAAAACTCACGCCGGGCACGTGTGCGTGCGTGCCCAAGATCCCAAGAGGAGGATGGAGAAGGGATTGCAATGTGACCATCCGCCCTGGGGGGTGATTTCTTGCTTTCTGTCTCTATGTTTCTCTCTGTCTGTCTGGTGAGCGCACGTGCCCTATAGCGAAAAAAAAATCCTCTCAAAAAAAATAATAATAATAATTTTCTACCTCAAATAGCTTAAATATTTACCAGAAAGGTAATAGTTAAGTATATGATGTATATAATATATTTTATTATATATTTTGTATATAATAAATGAAACACGTTGAATTTCCTGATACAAAAATAGACACAAGAAAAGAACCAAAGTACAAAAACAGTTTAAATAAAATAATTCCTTTTGTGTACAATTTTAAAAAGAATATGTAAATATATTAATATAAAAAGAGACAGCCATGTAGTGTAATAGATACATAAACATTTTTAGAAGCATACACAGAAAGCTGTTATCAGCTTTAAGGGAAGGAAAACTAGTTATTGAGTGACAAACAGAAGAACGTCTACTTTTTAAGCTTTCTGTATCCTATGAACATTTAATTATGTATTTAACTTTTATTTTTAAATGCTAATTTTTTAAAAAAGCAGAGAAAGTCTTATTCCCACCTGATTCTTTCAAGTAATGCTTAATAATCGAAGAAACTCCTTGAGGTGCCATAAAATTACAATCTCCTTCTTTCATCAACATTCCTTCAATAGGAGAGGTAAGAGGCTTCAAAAGGCCATGAGCTAACAGTTCATCATAAAAACTGAAATAAATCAATATATATAATTTAAGTATATACTATGATTAGCTTTAAAATACTATAGTGTATTCTCTTCCAAGAATTCTTAGAGATTATAATTCTAAATTATAAATAGAAATCTTCAGATGGTCAACTCAGTGTATGTTTTGTATTAAATAAAACTTTTTATTCAAATGAAGAACAGAAATAGTTTTGAGAATCCATAGGTCTTTGGCTGATATTAGCTAAAGACCTATTTCTCCATGTATTTCAAAATTATAGTCAATTAAATTTAACAGAATATTCAGTAAACAAATTTTATATTTAGTTAAGAAGACTGGTTTCCATCACATCTATCTGTCCTATTCCTCAATGCTACAGACTAACTGATATTTGAGTCTACTGATATATGCTCTATGTTATTTCATTTGATCTTCACAGCAACCATATAATGCAGGTATTGCATTTCATACTTTACTCAGGTTAATCTTTTACAGCTAAAAACACCAGCAATGATAATGTAATAATTTCTGTTGTAAGAGCAAAGTTTCACCATGTTAAAAATAGATGACTTGCACCTTTTTACATCATACAGCTACTAAGACTGGTTCTATTCCTTGGAACTAACTCACCTTTGGTGTTTTGTGGCATACTGAGGAGTGCAGGTGATGTACTGAGCACCCAAGTCAACTGTGCACTGTGGATTATGAGGACTGCTAGCAGTAGTCATTCTTCCCCCTGGAATGAATCCACAGGAAAATCTCAGCGCATTAGAATGAGTCTTTTCCAATTAATACAATTCAACCCAGATTACCCCAAATTGATTTCTTTAAAAATATATTAAGAAACATACTATTTAAATTGAAATCTTTGTCACCTAACATTGTCAGGAGGTAGCTAACAGGGACAATCTGGTCACCAATTGTGCGTTTGTCTAATCCTTTTCAAGAGGGGAAAAAAAGGCTCATGAGTAATGCAGCAGTGTCCCACTGTTTGTAGTACATATATTTCATAATGTGAATAAAAGAATGAATGAAGAATAATAAAGCAAAATGATGAATGGATGTCAGAATGAATGGATTAACGAAAGCCCTTTCATTCATTTCAGTGAGGTTTCCTGAGAATGACAGACTTCCGTCCACCGGGCACTTGGCGATCCTCAGAATCTGGAGAAAGTTGCAAAGGCCCAGACCGGTCACGATCAGCCTCCATGTATCTGGGAGCAGCAGCAGGCCCGGCTCCCGCGGCGGACACACGGGCCCCCTGGTGTTCTCTGGACTGCCGCCAGGCTCCAGCAGGGGTCGCCGCCCCACATCGCCCGCTTCCGGCCTCCTCGCGGGCGGCGGAAGTCTCCCCTCACGTGACGAGGCGCGCGCTGCGCAGGGGCCGCTGCCGGCCGCCGGGGCCTGAGGCACGGCTTTCCCTCCCCAGGCCCCGCGGTGCCCGGCCACGTTACGTCTGAGGCCCGCGTGGCGCGGCCCTTCTCCCGGGTTTTGGCCGTTGTCCAACCCACCTGAGTCCCCCGCCTTGTCCCACACAGCCAGGTGTAAAGGACCGCACGTCTCCCTCCTCAGCAGTGCGGCGCACAAGCTTCCGGTCAGCCCGGCGCCGACGATCAGCACTCGCGCCATGGCGGGACCGAGCCGCGGGCAGCGCCGTGTGCGCAC